CTAGAGCAAACAAGCTCAAGAGAAGAAAAGCTAAGGGACCGGGACGGAGTAGAAGTGATTACACTAATATTAACTTCTATTAAGAAATCCAAATCCTTTCACCATCAGTTTTCCTTAGCACCAGCTGGCTTACGCAACTCAACCTGCAGGAGCCCATTTCTGCTGTGCACATAACTTTTTAAGAATTGCTTTTCTGTTTGCCTTCAGAGTGACTCCAGTTAAATTGCAGTTCAATCTTCGCTTCACACAGTTGGGCTTAGGCTCCTCAGCTGCTCTAAATAGGTGCAAGCTCCCTTTTTAGTTCCTTAATCCAGAAATCTGAAACCCTGAAAATTGCAGCTGCTGCAATTCTGTAGAAATTGAAGGATGCCATAAAGTAGTGTAGATTGTATAAAAGTGCCAACATTTGTAAATTAACTGAAGCAAAGTCAACTCTGATAAAAAGAGTTTCAGGTACAACTTTTAAACAGGCATGAATTATCACTAAAGAATACATTACCAACAGAAGTTTTTTTTCTTCTTTTTTTTTTTTCCTGAAAACACTCAGGTTGTCACATTAAAAAAAAAAAAAAAAAAGAGCATTTAAACTTGCAAAGCCAAACATTTGGAAGTGAGCAGACAGCTGAATGGCCTTCCAGTTCAAATGCCTGGTACCATGAAAGGTTCAAGCAACAAAATACATCTTCAAATTGGATATAATTATGATTCTGTAATGTCAAAGGATTACCCTAATTTAGTAACTTACAACAAACTTTTCTTTCACATTCAGGAGTTCACAGCTGGAGCAAACACTTTCTCTCAAATTCATATTTCACTAAAACTTCAAAATATTCTTGCTATTATCTATACAAGCAATCTATACAATTTTACATAAGCAATGCCTTACCACTAGCACAGCCTATTTTAAGAGAGTAAATTATTCACATCAATATTACCTGAACTACATTTAGTTTTTTTTTTTAGTGCATGACACAATAAAACAAGGTGTAATGAATTATAAGTACAAGGGGATTCTATGTGTAAGAATGAAAATGCTCAGGTTGCATTTTCTGGTACACACCACAGAGCTGCATCACTTTCAAGAAAGGTTACCTTTAACTAGGGTTTCTCCAGATCTCCCAGTTCTCAAGGGTTAAATATTTGCCCAGCAGTGGAGCATGAACTGAGAGAGCTATGGAGCACACTCCATTTGCACTGCATTCACAACAGTTTTGCTCTCACTTTTTCAGCACAAAGGCCAGTTACATAGCATATCTGCAACCAAAGATCCAGTTATGTCCTCACTGAACTTTCCAAGATGGGAAGGGAATGGATTTTACCTCACTGGCAAAGGACAGTGCAGCTTCTAATGGAATGTCACAACGAAAGGAACCATCAGGAAGATGCATCATCCATCCACAGGAAAAAAAAAAAAAAAGAAAAAAAAAAAAACACGAAAACACATACTCTCCACCTTTATGCCCCCAAATCTGAAACACATCTCATAGGACCACCAAAAGATGCATCTCCATGTACGACTCAAAAAATGAAGCCTCACATGATGAAGGTGGACCGATACTATCTTACGTACCATCTCAATTTTATTAGTGATTTAGGGAGCAAAGTCTATATAATCATAAAAATAAATTGGAAGCTGGGCAAACAGCTAAGTAATACGCAAGGAAAAAAAAATCAAAACAAGTAACAATAGTAAGCCCATAACAAGCTTGGAATAAGGCTTTTATAGACTCGGGAAATGAATGAATTAAAAATGGTTCAAATAATAAGGCATCTGGGAACTCTACTACTAAAAATATAATCAATTATTAAGGAAATCTGAGAGTCAACAGCAGTCCATAGTCTAAAATCTCACAAAATATGTGTTGAAAGATACACTTTTAGTCCCTAATCATTTTAAATTATCTGTCCTCAAGGTCAACATCTTAAACTCAAAGATATTTTGGATTCTATTATGAAAGATAAATTTACTAGATTTAAATGATTAAAACAAATTTTAAAGCTGTTGGGAAAGCATCAATATCTAAAATTTGAAATCTGTCCCTCAACTAAAACCATGTTTTATCAAGATCAGCATATCTGCCTCTAAAAATAGTTTTCCACAGAAGTATACAGAAATACCTTCAGAACCCAGTTAAACCTTGCCCAAATACTATATTTAAAAATTTATTTATACAGCCTTTGAAATACATAATTGCCAATGATGTTTAACTTTCCAATAATATTTGAATCTTTAAACACACTAAACAAAGCTTTTGATTATTTTTCAGCATCTTGCTCAGCAGACCAGCAAAATGTGTTAACCTTGTAGGCTTACAAAAACACATCCCCCACAAAGCACAGCTCTGCTATATTTCATTAAAACAAAGTTTTATCAGATTAACTCACTCTTGCCTTCTAATGAATAATCAAATGGGAATGCAAACTTTTCTTGGAACATAGATAATTACATTTGCACACAGGTGTAAAATCAAAGTGGGAGGGGAATTCCCCATCTGAGATTAGACAGATTATTTGATATTCAAAACACATATTGCTTCCTAATGGAACAAGACAAGAGCACATTTGGGGTGGGGAGAGAGGGGAGGAAGAGGAAACTAAGGAAATCCACTAAGATAGTAAAAAAAAATTATATAACCAAGACCAAACATGCTCATCTGCAGCAAGCACATGCATGTCTATTTCTGGAAGTCTAAAAATTACCTTTTATTTTAATTAGTTCTCAACACACTAAACTAAAGAGTGTACTTTAACCCACCTATAGTGTACTTTATGTGCGAGTGCAGCAAGGTCTAAATGCTAGCAAATGGAGAAGAGGCCACAGATCAGAGCCTATCAGTCGAGGTCGCCTATTGCAAGTCAAGATATATGTAGTTCCTGATCCTACATGCCCACACCAGGACCACAAAAAGCACTGAGGGCTTTTCTTTGTTCCCATAAATATGTCCTGAAAAAGGAAATGGCTCTGAGTTTTTAGGTTTACTAACATCTTGTTAGAACAAAATTGAAGAGAAATAATGGAAGCATATCTCTTTTTTTATATTCCCCCCCCAATTCAAATCACATATATTAGGGTTTTTTTTTCTTTTTTTTTTTCCCCAAATAATGTAAAAGCTAATTGTAAAGACAAAGTAGGATTAAGACATTACCTAAATGGACTCTTCCGTTATATATTTTGTATAATAATCTTTACATGATCAACTGGTAGCAATAACTTTAGTTTTTCTATTTAATTATATGCACATCACAGATGTTGTTTTGATTACTTTGAATACAATAGCCAGGAACAGAATGTTATATTTCAGCTGACTCCCATAGGTCTTCAAAAGTTTACCTCTATGTGTGACAGGCTTATTTCATCTATTTCATATCTCTCATGAATTAATCAGAAGATTGTACAGATGGAATGAAAACCCTAACCAGATATGAGCCCGAAAGTTCTGATATGGAGAAAAAAAAAATCTATCTGCCAGGAGGAGAAAAAAAATAAAGAACCCTCAGAAAGGTTATGGTCATAAGGTTATATGCACCTAGACAAATGAACAGTTCGGAAAAAATTTTCAAAACGTGTCAAAGTCTATAAATATTGCTACTAATTTTACTCATATTGTTGATAGGACAGGACAGGCTTTTCCACCTTCTTTAGAAGATAATTTCAAAAAGCATTGGCTTGTTTTATGCTTTAGTACAGGATAGACTGAGACGGTAAAGTAGCAAATTACAACTTTTTTCCTTTCAGCTTCTGGAAAAACTGCTATTTTCATGTCTGCCGTGATCTTGACTTTGGTACATCTTATTTTTTACAAGCTACTTTCTCTAGATATCTAGATAGAGCAGAAAAAAATATTTCAGAGCAATATTTCTCAACAGTAAAGGTGACAGAGCACTAGAACAGGTTGCCAAGAGAGGTTGTGGAGTCTCCTCTGAAGATCTTCAAAACCTGCTTGGACGCAATCCTGTGCCACGTACTCTAGGTGACCCTGTGTGTGTGGAGGGGTTGCACTTAATGATTCTATGAACAAAAATGTCAGGCTGCCTTTTGAGCAAATAGATGAGCACTTATATTGACTTCTGACAGCCACAAATTTCCCCCATATTAATTTCCCTCATATACCAAACTCAAAATCAAAAGTAAATTCTCAATCTGCAAGTTCAGAACATGTAGTGGTCGATATTTACAGCCAACCAATGAAATCGACAAAACCTGCCATTGTGTCACACAGTACAGAGATTAACCATCTTGTATATTTTCCTTAAATACATTTTCATTTATAAAATAAAATGAAATATGTCTTCAGAAAAAAAAGAATTCCCCACAACCACTATGAAAGCACTAAAATATTCTTGTAGGAATCACACCAAGAAAAGGAAAAATGTTTGTGTTATATCTCTCCACTTTCACTGCTATCAAAATCAATTGCTTATTTCCATTCTAAACCTGCATTTTATGAGCATGCATTGATACAAGCAGGGACCACATCATGTCATTTCACGTACCAGTGAGTAAAAGCATGGTGTTTACTAAGTTTAGTCCCTAATGAAGAACTGAGGGCCTCTGGTGTAAGCCCTCAAATTTCATCACCAAAAACATGCACTGTTCCTAATTACCTGTAAAAAGTATTTGTATAAGCTGTAATTCACCTTCCAGATAGCTTGCAGATGAAAAAGAAACAGGTACAAAAAAAAAGAAAAAAAACCCCTGCTTTTTCAGTATCATTTTTTATTAGTGAAGATTTTATTGACTGATACAAATGAAAGACAGACCCCAGATTTGGTAGAAAGGTGCTTTTAAAAAGTACCATAAAAATGAGTTGATAAGACTTCTGAGAGAGCTGATTGTCAAAAATGGTTTCAGGAAATCTCAAGCTTAAACAATCTTTTTAAATATGATGCTTTCAAGCAACGCTGCTCCTTCTCTACAGGATATATTTTCTGATTTCAATTCGGCAACACAGTAAGAAACAGAGTTTTAATTATAAATAAAGAAAATAACAAATACTTACGCTGACCCCATCGGCCTGTTCTTGGATTCAAATAATTTGGATAAAGTCCATTAGGACGATCCATTTTTTGAAGCAACTTCCGAATGTGCATAACCTAAATTAAATCAAGAATCAGGATCAACACTAACAACTTTCATCTGATCTCTGCCCTTAATTAAATCTAATTTCTTTACAATAGCTAATTTTCTTAGTCTGACCACAGAAGCTTTTTTGATGGCTTCCTAGAGATTAGTACTTTTTGATTTTCAAAGATTACTCACAAAAATGTGTTTTAAATTCCGTGTTTTTTTTAAATATACATTGAAATAAATAAGATAGATTTATTTATTTATTACCTACTATCAAAATGTAAATAGAAACTAATACATTAGAAAATGCAATACAAAAAGCGTTTTCATATAATGCAATTTATGATAAGACAATATAAAAGAGCCTCATGTGACAGAAAAAATGAATTTGAGACTCACCTTGTTGTAGTATACAGGGTCCCCTGTCAAGTAGCTAAGATGGACAAATTCCATATGCAGAGTACCAAACTCCGCAAGGATGCTGCTGCCCGCAGAAGCCCAGCCCCAGTTTCGACCAACACCACTGAGTTCCAACACGCATGTATAAAAGGGGAGGAAAGAATGAAAAGAGCAGACTTACTGGGCAACAATAATAAGTCAAATTAACGAGGCAATATATAGCAAGACATTAATCCACACTTAAGATGACAAGAGTTCTGGTTTTACTGTTTTTTTGATTGGGTGCTTTTTTTTTTTTTAAGAAAGAAATAAAAATAAACTCCTATGACTAAAAGACTAAAAGATATAACATTTTTATGTTACATTTTTAACACTAGGTCTAATCTATGCTTTTATTGATAGCACATTCCTAAGATTAAGCATCAAAATTGATATCTCATGATAAAACAATACTTCCAGATGCAGTAGCTCTAGCTTTCTCATTCTGTCAAACACTTGCTGGACTCCGTTTCCTCATGTGGGACATGCTGAAGTCAGTGTTAAACACTCAAGCTAGATGAGAGTTGGCCTTACTTGTAGATCTATAGCTACACACAAAAGCTGTATTTTTATTGTAGGTCTAATGAGTTTTTGAGGCTCATGATATAGCAACAAGTGAAGGTATGATATATGATTCACACACTATGACATATCACCTTGCAAAATTATTTAACTCCTAAATTATGCCTGGTTTTATCTAATTTGGGAGTATTCACTACCTTTTAGGATAAGGTCTTTTAATCTACCATGTTAGATTACATTTTCCTGAAGAAGACTCTTATATCTTCTTATACCAGAACTCACTTGGAGGTTATGAATAATACTTCAACCACCGAGGAACACCTTATTAATTTCCTAAATTGTTTATTAGAAAAAGGAAAAAAAAAGTAAGAAAAAAAGAATGGTGGTAATCAAGCAGTATTTGTAGCCCTCCGCTGAGACAAAAGAACTCTTTCCATTATAAAACACAATAATCATTGTTTACCAAAAATACAGAGGAAAGCATAGCCTGTCTCAGTTTTTTTTAGTATAGCTATCATAAAAATGGAAAAGTGTTTCATAATTAATACAATAAATAATTAAAAAAGCAAAAGCTGCCATTTTCTAGCTCTTTCAAGTCTTGTCTTTACTGCACATCAGCAAAACAACATACATTCAGATGTACATGTGCTGTTATCACTGCCTCCCTGCATGCCAATCACAGCATTTTCTCCTGTTATGTCAACTGGTTCTGTATATTACTAAGATATTAACACAGTATAGGCAGACAACTTTTAAGCACGTAAGGAGATTCTAGCATTCCAATCCCTGCCCATTAGTTTACTGGGAATTGAGCGCTGCTACTGCCTTCCTGGTACTGCTCTGGTGAATAACCTACAGGATCTATGTCCATATGTTCCTGCTCGATATCCATTTGCAACTTCTTAGGCCTTGTCAACTAGGATTGAAGCAGGGAATCAAATGCTGCTGATGCAGCATGACTGCCTGCCTATTCACACACACTGGCAGCACAGTGCAGACAAAAAATGGCCTCAGATATAAAAGTGCAACACACATGATGCAGAAAAAGTGTGGGTAAGGATCAGGAGGCCCTGTGTCAGGAAAAGGGCAACTCTCCATGAAAGAACTGAAAGAAAGATGTAAGAAAGATGTAAATTGTTCCCTGACCACAAAAAGGCACATGAGATTAATGCTCTCAAAATAATCCCAAATCTCTTCATATTCTAGCAAAGGCCAACACACATTTCGCCTAAAATGATAATAATTTTTAACACATTTTAAACATTTTTGGGTATGTTTTAACATTCCTACTTTTTTTTCACTCCTATTTTCGTTTAGTTAAATATAGAAAATGAATGTTGGGGGGGGTTTTACCCTCAGGGTTGGGGAGGGGAAGGGGGCAACAGCACATGTAATCTAGGCAAGTCAAAATTAAAGATTGCACAAACTCAAAATGTTAAGACCTAAAAAAAACATAGTTAGGAGAACTGAACTGCTTAACTGTCTTGAAAATGACACCCAAACGGAAAACCACCACAGTATGCAAGAGAATTAACTAACACATTTAACAAGAAATGGATGCACAATACCAAAGTAGGGAAGAATTATTTTATTTTGATGATGCTTTTTATAAATTTCATCTCAACTTCAAACTTCCTGTATTTATAATTTGATTTTTGAATATTCAAAACTCCACTATTTATTATTCCAAATTGTATAGGTGTACTCACAAAACTAAGCTGCATCCTAATTCAGTTGTTTAAAACATAATTAAAATTAAAAATATTCTCTCAAAAATTAAGCAAATCTCCAGAAGCAGTACAAGATAAATTAGCTAATAAGTGTAGAATTTTAAATTTGATAGTTAACTGCCCAAAACAACACTCTGATCATATCCCTTTCTCTCAGCAAAAGCATCTCTAAGAAAGTTAAGGACTTGACTAAAAGTTACTATCAAAGGAGTCAATCAGGTATTTGCCATAACCAAATCCTGGCATTTTAACATCATCAGTGAAGAGGCAGATTCTTCCACAAGGCAAGTCAGGTCACCTTGGTTAGGCCTACTGACTTGAGCAGCTACCTAGAGCTACTACTTCTCCCACTGACCAGAGGAAAGACAAATGCTAGCAATTTTATCTACGCTGAAGAATAAAATGAGCAACATCCTCCAAGGGTCCTCACCTTCTCAAACATCATGAATCTCACAAATGTAACATACGGCTCATACTTTGCATAACTCCAGGAAGTTTAACCATTTCCTGCAAACATTTTTGGTTTTAATATGAATGTCTGATTGAGAACGGCTTAAGAATCAGTGATTAAGTCCTAGAGTAACCGATGGCATAATATGCTGTGTAGGTTCTCCTCTGCACTGAATTCTTATTGCAGAATGAGGAAAAAATCATGGATGCAATTCATTACAGTTAATGAGCTAGAATGGTCTGAACTCTGCTGAAATTATTTTCAAGTGCCAGGAATATCAACTTCTCTTTAAATTCTACACTTTCACTACTTCAGAAAATGTTCATCTGCCAATACCAGTTATAAGTTGAGGGTAGAGGGAAGAGAGAAAAGAAAAAAAGAACACATACACAATTCCCCCTCTCCACACTTTTCCCCTTCCCCGCAAAAGAAAATCCATTACCTTTTCAGATTCACCATTGCCCATGGTATACCTGTGGGTGTGTTGAAGGCTGGAAGAAGTTTTCCTGCCAGCTGCACTGCTTTGATCTTGAATATCTAAGACAGTAGAATCAATGGCAGACAGTTATAAATTCTGATTTATCTTCAAGAACTATAAAGAGTGTGAAATTTCCTTGATCTACCCAGCCATTTATTTTAGAAAAAGAAAATTGCACTGTAAAATATATACATTAAGTTCTCATTTATTTTTCATTTGTTCACTTCATGAACTTCACTAAGATATGAACATAAAAAGAAAACCTGTCATTTAACTAACTCCCCAGTTTTGGTATTTAGGCTCCTATTAAAGAATATCATCAATCTTTCCAGCAGCCTCCCCCAACCATACCAGAAGTTTCTGGATTTCTAGCAATTTCTAAAGCAGTCTTTAAACTATACTTTATATTTAGGAGCTAAAAGCAACAGCAAACTTTCCTCCACCCACATACATAATTATTGGAACTTTTACAAACTTCCAATCTCTTTCATTTCATAGATACACTTTTTTAATATATAAACACAAACATAAACAGAGGCTCTGTCTTTTCAGTCATATTGTATATGCAAACACACAGATATGCTGAGTTTCTTGTAGCTTTTCCATCACTGACAAGGCATTGATAAAGGAGGGAGAAGGGGCAGCCTAATCTCTCAAGTTGAAACACCATAATATTTCTCCTCTACTCCGAACAAAATTACTAGTGTACTTTTGGAACATAAATCTGTAATATTCATATTCAGAGTCTATCACTAATTAGTTAAATCAGCAACTGAGAGACAGATCCTTCTAAACCCATAAGAAGCATCTTTCCAAAAGGTGCATTTGATACATGGAAACTGTTTTTTACCAATTAGTTGCTAGCGTTTTAGCTATGTCATTATCATTACTTGCTAAATTTCTGCAAAAGGGTCTCATTATTTGGAGATAATATCATTTCTCAGGTTGAGGACTGCACATAAAAGTAACTAAGAGAGCTACCACGCTCTCCAAATAAAACACACTCTAAGTGTAAAGTGTTGCAATATGGACATGCTAGAGAAGTATTATTAGCAGCTATTTGACCAACATTCACCAATCAAAGAAAATAATGAGGACGATGAGAAAGCCTTGTTCGTATATAAAAAAGGGTTTCTCTGTTTTGTAAGTCTAGATTGGGAAAAGAGAAAAGATGTTTGTTGGAGAAAAATGAGCAAGGAAGACGCATACCATCTTCACTTATGGTCCGAAGGCAGAAAAAGTTCAATATCTTAACATCTTTTGGAGATGTCTGGTAAGGCATAAAAAAGGAATGAAAGTGTAGTAAGAATCACACAGCGGTAGAGGTTGGAAGGGACATTTGGAGATTATCTAGCTCAAACTCGCTGATCACACGGGGTCACCTAGAGCACACTGCACAGGATTGCATCCAGATGGCTTTTGAATGTCTCCAGAAAAGGAGACTCCACAAGCTCTCTGACCAAACTGTTCCAGTGCTTTGTCATTGTGAGGAAGTTTTTTCTCACATCCAGATGGACCTGCCTTTGTTTCAGTTTGTGGCTACGGCCTCTAGTCTTGTCACTGGCCAACACTGAAAATTGTCCGACTCCAGTGCCTTAAGGCACTGACTCTCTCTCAAGTTATTTGTATACAGTGGTAAGATCCCCTCAGTCTTCTATTCTATAGGCTAAACAGACCCAACTCTCTCAGCCTTACCTCACAAAAGAGAGATCCCAAGTCCCCCAGTCATCTTCGTAGCCCTACACTGGACCACAGCATGGGGGAAAATTATAGAGCATATCATCCTGAGAGCCATCACACAGCATGTGCGTGACAACCAAGGAATCAGATCGAGCCAATGTAGTGGATGAGGGAACGGCTGTGAGTATGGTCTACTTAAGTCTCCCACTGGTGGACACTTTGCTGGGTCCAAAACTGGCTGTATGGTCAGGTCCAGAGAGTTGTGATGAATGGAGTTAAATCCAGTTGGCGACCGGTCACAAGTAGTGTTCCCCAGGGGTAAGTGTTGGGGTTGGTCCTCTTCAATATCTTTATCGATGATCTTGATGAGGGGACTGAGTGCACCCTCAACAAGTTTGCAGATGACAGCAAGATGGGAGGAAGAGTTGATCTGCTCGAGCATAGCTTGAGCTCTACAGAGGGATCTGGACAGCCTGGATGGAAGGGCTGAGACCAAATGTATGAAGTTCAACAAGGCCAACTGCTGGGCCCTGCACTTCGGTCACAACAACCCCAAGCAGCGCTGCAGCCTTGGGACAGCGTGTGAACATGAGCCAGCATGTGCCCAGGTGGCCAAGAAGGCCAGCGGCCTCTTGGCTTGTATCAGGAACAGTGTAGCCAGCAGGACCAGGGAAGTGATCCTTCCTCTGTACTTGACGCTGCTGAGGCCGCACCTTGAATACTGTGTTCAGTTTTGAGCCCCTCACTACAAGAAAGACACGGAGGTGCTGGAGTGTGTCCAAAGAAGGGCAACGAGGCTGGTGAAGGGGCGGGATCACAGACCTTAAAAAGAACAGCTGAAGGAGCTGGGATTATTTAGTCTGGAAAAGAGAAGGCTCAGGGAAGACCTTACCTCTCTCTACCTGAAAGGAGGTTGTAGTCAGCTGGGGGTCAGTCTCTTCTGCAAAATAAGTGCCAAAAGGACAACAGGAAATGGCTTCAAGTGGCACCAGAGGAGGTTTAGGTTAGATATTAGGAAAAATTTCTACATAGAAAGAGCAGTAAAAGAGGCTGCTCAGGGAAGTAGTGGAGACACCATCTATGGCAGTGTTCATGAAGCACGTATATGAGGCACTTAGGGATATGGTTTGGTAGGAATGGTGGTGATGGGTTTATGGTTGGACTTGATGATTTTGAAGGTCTTTTCCAAGCATAATGACTCTATGGTTCTACAAGTAAGAGGAATAATACAGGTGGTGTTTTTGGTGACTGGAGGTAAGGGAAATGCTAACTGCTTGGCTCATTTGCATGAAATTACCTGCTTCACAACCATAAATACATTCTAAAACTTCTTGCTGAAATTTTCAGTTGGGAAGTAGTAGATGCATCAAGAATGAGGAATAGATCTAAAAGTTTGGAGATCGATAGAACCATCACAGTCAAACATGAATTACTGCTGTGCAGAGATAATACTTCAATTATGACTTCTAGTTAAATTTATATACAGTTCAGAAAGCTCTGTAGATTGAATTGTTAACTACAGCTTTTGGATTCTGCAGCATCCGAAAACCTTACATGTATGATTACTTGTTTGCACTACTATTAAACTGAAACATTGGTAGGAAATACTCAATTGAAGAATGCCCCCAAAAACATCTGCACTAGAAGAATATTCCTAATAGCTACATCTTTCTGTACTGCTATCCAGCCTTTAAACAACTCAATGTGACACTGTTTTGTGGAACAAACTATAGTATTGGAAGCTTCTAATTATGTGTAAAGTCTGAGCATGAAACTAAACTAGAATAATTAAAGCTGTGTGATCATTGTGCCGGTCATTTCAGAATATGAGTAAGCCAGAAGATGAAGGAGGAAGACAGTGAGATAGCAATAACTATTAGTTCAGACAGCACTGTTCACAGAATCACAGAATGCTTGAGGTTGGAAGGGACCTCTAGAGATCATCTAGTCCAACCCTCCTGCTCAACCAGGGACACCTATCAAATGTGGCACAGGGTCACATCCAGGCAGGTTTTGAAGATCTCCAGAGAAGGAGACTTCACAGCCTCCCTGGGCAGCCTGTTCCAGGGCTCTGTCACCCTCACAGTAAAGTTCTTCCCCATATGGAGTTGGAACTTCTGTGTTTTAATTTAACAATACTTGCAAAACCATGCCGTGATCACCTCTGTTGGGCTAAGGTCTCTAGATTCTCCTGCTTTAGTATATAAGAGGTAAAATTGTACCCCTCTATATCTCTCTCAAGGTGGAAATCCAAGGAAACACTTTGAACAGCTGAAGATTTTCTTTCTATCAAGGAACCACCCTACCTACCTGTCATCTCAGAATCCTACAAATAGCACACAACTGCTTCTGAATAACAAAATAGCTTAATTATTGATACCATGTTTTTCTATAAAGACTTGGGTGAGAACAGAGACAGTCACTTAAGGTTTTGTCAGTTCAGAGTGACTAGGAGGGTGTATTTGAAGAGAGGAAAAACCTAAAATCCAAATCAGAGAAGTGGATCACATATTAAGATCAAAACCTGAATCAATATCTACAGACTAGCATGTACAGCACATCAATTGGAAGGGAATAAATCTTCTTCAGCCCTTAGCTGATGCTGAAGTTGTCACCTCATAACATGGAGAGCATGTTTCCGAAAACGTTAATCCAATTAAGGCCAAAATATTCAGCAGAAATCCTCAAAGACTAAGACGACTCTTTAAAAGCCTTATCAATATATCCAGTGGCTGAACTAAAAGTGCAAGACTAACTTTTAGGAAAACTATACTGTGCTAATATAGCTGTTGCTATGGATGGCAAATAGCATCAAAAATAGCATCAAACTGCCTCAATTTCTGCTTCCAAGAGACATTAATTAAAAGATTTTACATAAATTTAAAAGTCTCTTTCATGTAGGTGCATAAATCAGGCTTTAAGTCATTACGTTAGATATCAATATATGCCAGACTTCTGCTTAATTTGATAATTACCTAGTGAGCATTAAGGTCATGGTGTAATGTAGGTAAGGTAGGTAACGTAGGTTCTGTAGGTAAGATGGCTTTTGATCCTGGAAATCACATTAAGCAAAATAGATACATTGCACAATTTTATGACAAGCTAGTGCTTTCACCGTCAGTGCTACCATTACTATTAAATGCTATATACACTTCCTTTGAACATAGAGCAGGACATAGGATCAAAAGGCAGGCTTGTCTAACTGCTGAATGCAGGTAAAGGATAGAGCTTCTGACAACACCTTGAAAAAAAAAGGTCTGATATTTCTTGACCTAATTTAAAATAGGTATTTCTACCTTCAGAGTAATAACTGCATTACAGAACTCTTCACAGGCCTTTTATGGCTCACTACCCATTCAGTATTCACCTTGCCAGGCAT